TGAAAAGAGTCGTCATCAGCTTCTTTGAGTAAGTATCCAGCCTAGATTTATCAGAACGGTATAAAGGAAGCACAGTTTTGTTTAGAATTCTTCAAGATTGCTTCATGATTCCTCAAAATTGAAAGGCCAATGATTTTTTAATTTCGTTGGAAATGGAAAAGTTCTTGGAGCAGAGGAAAGCCACCGATCTCAACACAAATGTTTATTTCTCCGAAAATTGGACAGAATCTGTATTGAAAGTTCTGGGGGAATCGTTCGAAAACCTTTGATAATCTCTTTCGAGGAGCACAACAAATACGGACGATTGGAGAATCAATTCCTGTTCTCAACGAACACCATTACGGCTCATCTTTCCAAAGAGAATCGTCACATTGAGCCGTTTCAAACTCAAATTCCCTGTCATTTGTAAATCGTTACTTACTCGATTCAATTTACTGTACGGCAGATGTGAGCCAACTGTTGCATTCCCCATTCTTCTCCTTTCTCTTTATTTTTCGTGGTAAGGAATTTCTATTTGGCCACGAATTTCTTGTTTGATTTTGTCTTCTCTCATCAATTCTGCCTCTTTAGTAGCTGTTTCCTTTAATTTTCACTTGTTCTTCGAGAAAATTCAGTCATTTTGTAGGCATCAAATCGTCTAGCAACCGAAATGGACAATCTCTCGAATCTTCCTCCTCGATCTCTTCAGAGCATCTCTTCTTTTCCCAAATCTCCAGAAATGGCCGAAATGACTGAAGAATCGCCTGAAAAGAGTGTCAAACGCATAGAAGGACCGGCCATCTCGTTGAAGAAAATCGCCCAACTCGAAGCCGATTTGTGGGTTTTTCGCCAAATTTTTGCTTCTATCAAAAACAGTCTTTAATTTAATCGAATAGTTTAGGGAGCAAATGAAAAAGGACAAAGACGTGGAGATGAGTCGATGGACAGCAAAAATCGCTCAAATCGAGGCGAATTTAATGGGGAAAATGACGAAGTCGCTCGAATCGAGGCGAATTTGAAAATCGCGAAGTAGGAGGCTGCTTTGGTTGACGGAAGGGAGAGGAATCGAGAATTGGAAAGGAAAATCACCGAGACGAAAAGGAAGAACGACGATCTCGAAGCACAATTGTACTAAATTTGTGATTTTCTTTTTTGACAAGCTCAAATTAAAATAGAGATAAAATTGGAACTTTTTTAGGAGAGCTCGAAATACGGAAGTGAGAGACGAAAAAGCCGAGCTCGAATGGAAAATCACCGCCGTGCAGAGCAAAAACTCTGGCCTCGAAACCCAAATGTGAGTTTATTTCTTATCTCTTGTCGACTGCGATCTGAGAAAGCAGTTTTTTTTGACGCCCGAAACACCCATTCCAATTAATCCGATCAATTCCCCTTCTGAAAGGGAAAACAAAACGGCCGAAATCATGAGTTGCGGGCAGATTTTTTATGTTTTTTTAAGTAAAGTCTTTGTCTAAAAGTCTGAAGTAAAGTTTTTCGAAGAATTTCAGAAATCGAACGATGACTTGGGTCTTGGATCTGAATGGATGGTCGTATTTTGCAAAAACCGCTTCTTGGTAAAGGTTTGATGGATGTGGTGAACCAGGATTATCTTCATCTCGAGGTTCCCAATCAAGAAATGACATTCTATGAAGCCGAGGCATATTGTGCGAGTCGAAAGGGCCATTTAGCCACAATTCACAGTCAGGAAGAGCACGATTTGGTTTGGAAACTTGGTAAGAAATCAAATGATTCAATTCTGAAAATTCATGATTTTCCTAGAAATTCATGCTTTATAAACCAAAAACAACCGATATTTATTTCAGGGAACGAAAACGATTCGGGATACTTCAAGAATGGCGACTTCTAAAGAAAGTGATTGATTATCATTGTTTGAAACCATCTCTCTTCATTACTATCATTTAATAATTACCCCCAATAATAAAGTTTTGATTCAAGCCCACACAAGTTTCTGTCTTTTGTGATCTCCATGATAACTTTGATCCAACGGCGAAACGTTTTTAGTAACGCTCGCTACATGCTTAGCTACACGTAATTCTTCGCAAACGTCGCCGAGAACATCACGAGGCAAATGAAAGGGGAATTTTGCATAAAAACCATTTTGATTGCTTTCAGTAGACACCACTAGCGGGCACCTGACAGAACCTTATATACTCGACCATTTTGCAAGAAAGCTTGTTGAAAGAGTGTAATGTAGTGAGATGTACATAGCTAAATGATTTCCTTGAAAAAAATTGGTCTGAAAATGGGATTTCATTCGGTCTTTGACTCTAAAGACATCTACAGCTCACTATATCTACAATACATACATCCATTATCTACTTGCTTAATCATTAAGATTAGCCAAAAAGAGACCGAAATCTCCGCCCACAGAACCAACAGTGAGTCGAATTTTGGAGAACTTCAAGAACAAAAATCAAAGACAAATCGACAAGTTGCGGGACGAGAAGAGCGACCTTCACGAAGAATTGTCAGTTTCCTCATGCTGATGTCCATCGATGTTCAACACGTTTATCTAATAGTCTATTCCGGAGCGACGAGAGAGCAAAATACTTGCAGCTTCAGGCGGAATTCTGGGTTTTTAAGAAAACTTTTTATAGGAGATTTTGAAGAAGCAACTCAGAAATAAAGAAAAAGATAATGTGGAGTTGTGTGTTTTCAGAACATTGAATAAAATTAGATTTATTGTCCACAAAAAAGAACATAAGACATTTATCAGAATTCAGAGCCCCTTTTGCAGATAAAACGATACGGATTGGTAGGAGGATCGGCCACCCATTTCCCATCGAGGCTCCGAAGCTGAAATGAGTTCATTTCTGATGGAAATCGCTTGATAAAACACTTTTCGTTATTTCACAAAAAGAAATTTCCTCAGATTGATCAAAACGTTTTGATCAATTTTAATTATGCATTGGAAATTGGAATAAATATTGATGATTTCACGTTGAAAATCTCACCGCAGCGTGGGTCTGTCTCGATGGCCTGTCGATAGGATGTCCCGGATACCAATTCGTGAAATCCACCGCACTTCCATCCGTCCATTCAAAAGCATTTCCTTTTTTCGGATCTCTCTGAATAAAGAAATTTTTATGTTTAGACATTGATATTTCAACCAAATTTTTTTTTATTTTAGAACTGATCTAGCTTGCCAATTGAAACCATTATTCCTATTAAAGAACTGTCAGTCAAACGAATCATTTTTTCACAATAAGCCTCCCGAGAATGGTTGAAAGAATCATTACTTTCTAGCTATTTATTTCTTTCGATAAAAAAGTTCAACCTTCAGTCCGATCCAGAACCACGAATTCGAATCAACAGTTTTCGCTGAAATAATTATCGATTGTTTTTGGTTTATAAAACATAAATTTCTACGAAACTCATGAATTTTCAGAATTGAATCATATCGATTTCTTACCGAGTTTCTGAACAAAATCGTTCTCTTCCTGACTCTGAATTGTGACCAACTGGATTTTTCGACTCGCACAATATGCCTCGGCATCATCGAATGACATTCTTTGTTCGAGAACCTTGAGATGAAGATAATCCAGGTTCACAACATCCACCAAACCTTGTACCAAGAAGCGGTTTTTGCCCAATACAACCATCCATCCAGATCCAAGAAAGTCATCATCAGTCATCACTGAATTTCTTCGAAAAACTTTACTCCAGATCTGTTAGACAAAGACTCAATCGTTACTTTAAAAAACTCACAAATCTGCCAGCAGCTTCATCATTTCGGCAGTTTTGTTTTCCCTTTCAACTTGTCTAGAGAGGAATGGATTGGATTGAGTGGAATGGGTGTTTTGGGAGTGAAAAAACCGTTTTCTCAAGTCTCAGTCGACAAGAGTTTCCAAATAAACTCACATTTGGTTTTCGAGGTCAGAGTTTTTGCTCTTCAATGCGTTGATTTCTTCGTCTTGCACTCCAATCCTGGCTTTTCCCTCTCTCACTTCCGTATTTCGAGCTCTTCTAAAAAAGTTCCAATTTTATCTCTATTTTACTTTGAGCTTGTCAGAAAAGAAAATTACAAAATTAGTACAATTGTGCTTCGAGATTTTCGTTTTTCTTTAAGGTCTCGGCGATTTTCCTTTCCAATTCTCGATTTCTCTCCCCTCCGTCAACCAAATCGGCCTCCAACTTCGCGTTTTCCCCCATTAAATACGCCTTGATTTGAGCCATTTTTGCTGTCAATTGACTCATCTCCTTTTTCATTTCTTCTCTAAACTCTTCAATTAAATTAAAGGCCGTTTTTGATAGAAGCAAAGATTTGGCGAAAAAACCACAGATCGGCTTCGGGTTGGGGATTCGAGAGATTGTCCATTTCGGTTGCTAGACGATTGGATGCCTACAAAATGACTGAATTTTCTCGGAAAACCAGTGAGAATTAAAGAAACAGCTACTAAAGAGGCATAATTGATGAGAGAAGACAAAATCAAACAAGAAATTTGTTGCCAAGCAAAATTGGGATTTCTTATCACGGAAAATAAAGGGAAAGAAGGGGAATTCATTTAGTAATCAGTTGTTAACCGAAAACAATCAATATTCATTTCAGTGAAAACTGAAAACGAAAACTGCTACAGAACAACAATGATTTGGGACAAGAAATAGAATGAGGACGCAAGGATTTCCTCTATAATTTGCCAATATTCAGACTACCAGGATTAGAGAACTTTCTTAGTGGCTATTCCCCACAGTAATACCTTTACTTTACTTTTCCAGAACTGAAATGTGTTCATTTCTGAAGAAATGAAAAAAAGAAATTTCCTCAGAATGATAGAAAGATGTTTGAATTAACTAGGCATTGGAAATAAATAAATGAATGAATATCGATGTTTTCGGGTTTCCCTGATGATTTCACCTTTTTCCAGAATAAGCCGAACCTTTGGGTAAATAACGAAGCTCTGCCTTCCATTCATGTTCAAAAGTTTCAATTTTGTTTTATTATTTAACCTTGAATACCTACCTTTATCTTTCAACAAGTGTAACACCTCACTTGCCAGTTTTTAACCGAGTTTGCATTTGCCAACCAAAGAATTGATATGCTTTGGAAGAGGTGGAGTCTAGATTCTTTAAGTTTACATTGATGTCCAATTGAACCCACCAGCGTTTCGATATTATACTTAAAGAAACGCGGAGTTGTTAATCGCCGATGTATCATTGCAAGCATCTAAATTGTGGAAAATGAATTGAATTGATCTTGAAAAGCTACCTTCTTGGCCAATTTATATTCCGGGTCGGTTGGATTGAAAAAGTGATACCCGACGGTCTTCTTTTGCACAACTACCGGTCCTTTGGACGTAAATTGAGCCAAAAGTAAAGTGTTGTTTGACGAGTGGATCCTCGCCCTCGTCCTCGTCTTCATTCTCGTCGTCGTCGTCGTCGTCCTCGTCCTCATCGTTCTTCCTCGACTTGTTGAAGCTAGAAAAGTAAGACTATTTAAATTTGAAAGTAAACTTATCGTTAGAAAGAGCTAATGCTCTAAAACTCTATACACTTACATTCAGATCAAGCCGAGCTCATCGTTTTCATCTTTTGCGGCTAGATCCTGAATTTTTTCTCGAATTGCCTTCTCTTTCGAATTTCCCAACGATTCATTCATCTAAAATCCTTTTTTACAAGACGCCTAGTATTGTTATTGTTATGTAGAAGAATTCTGCCGGAAGAGATTCTCTTCCTTCTTTGCCGAACCCTGAAATATCACAGGAATGACATGCCCCCGATCATCTATAATTTTTGCAATTTTTAAAACTCGTAAAGAAAAAAAAGAACTGCTCGACGTATCGTTTTGTCGAAGTTTTACTCTTTTAGGGAAAGACACTGCTTTTCCTGAATTGTGGAAGCTTCTTATTGCGAAGGTTATGAGTATTTACCTTTTTCGAGTTCAAGAAGTTTTTTGTTCTTGAATCCGGTATAACATATGGTGAATTTGTATTGTTCCTTATCGATGTTTCCCCGATAGTAACCTCCATTCTCATCAGATTCTGCTTGCTTGAGGCACTGAGATTGTCATTAAAAGCATTGAATCGTAATTTACTTAAATACATTTACTCAAATCAACTCACCCAGATATTGCCAGAACTTAACTATGGAAATAAACAAGGGAATCTGTACTTTCTTGTGTTTGTTCCAGGCCAGTCCAAATTATTGTACTTATTAGTCACATTCAGGCCAAAACGTTTGGCCTAATATGGTCGCAATTATGGTTCTCCTCCACGACGACGAGGCTCATTTGAAGGGAATGAATCCCATTTTCGATCCTCTTCTATTGTTGCAAAATCCTTGACAAAATCAGAATTCATTCTTGAATTCTTGATCAGTTGAGCATGACCATCAAATTTGCCACCGCCGTACTTCGCACCACCGACGGTCGCTTGAAGAAGTTGTCCGATGTTGAAGCTAAGAGAACCTCCACCTGAATAGAATTTAGAAAACTAGAAGTAAGTCTTTTAGTCTTGATAGAATTTCAGTGGTCACTCTAATATAGTATTTAAACATTTGACTTTCTAAATAATCATTTTTTAGGTATAATGTTATTATACTATTGCCCAAGAACCCATATAATCTCCTGACTTGGATTACCATTAACAAGTCTATTTTGGACCCAGGCTTCACTTGTATTCACTTGTCAAACTCAATTTTCTTTAGTAACACTATGTAGCTTTTTGAAATATTTCTTTATTTAACGTAACTCTCCCACCGGAAATAGAATACGAGGACGTCTTTTTAACTTGATTCCCTTTCGACATTGCCTTCCACTAGAAAAATAGCAAAAAGAATGATTAATACAAAGAATAGCAACTTTTAAGAGATGAAATGGTGCTTGAAAAACTGTTGACATACAATGTGTGGAATGTAAATGAATTTATTGACCTCAGAACACTTGCAATACACTTAACATGTGTCAGGGAGATTCTCCTTGAAATACAAGTGCTAGTCACCGTCAGAGCATTGAAGGCTGCTAAATTTTGGATAATTAAAAGAGATCACAAAAAACTGCTTTTTACAGTATGGTCAATTTTTATTGTTCCTTATCGATATTTTCTGGGTATCAGATCCATCATCATCAGATTCTGCTTGCTTGAGGTACTGAAATTGTCATGAAAAGTATGGAATAGTAATGAGTACATTCACTCAAATCAACTCACTCAGATATTGCCAGAACTTAACTATGGAAATAGACAAGGGAATCTTGTGTTTGTTCCAGGCAAGTCCAAATTATTGTACTTATTAGTCACATTCAGGCCAAAATGTTTGGCTTATTCGAAGAGGATGCATCCCGCTTTCGATTTTCTTCCATTGTTGTAAGATCCTTGTCCTTCATTTTTGAATTGTTGTCCAGTTGAACATGGCCATCAAATTTGCCACCGCCGTACTTCGCAGGACCGACGTTCTCGGGACCTCTCCCTCTTCGCAATCAACAACTTCCCCTCCTTAAATTAACATTCATAATTGTTTCTGAGGCGTCATGTTTTAGGAGTCATATCGTTAACCAAAGCCAACATCTGTCGCATTCGTAAAAATGGGGTTTTTACGGATTCTTCTACTGGTTTGAATCAAATGAATTCTGCAACTAAAACCGAATTCCAGACTCTCTGTCCACTGGACTTTCGCCATCTCGTTGAGGGATTACGGTAGACCTAGAGTTATATAAGTTGGGCTGACAATAAGAGATTTTTCAGTGGCGGTGGCCGAATCAGTGTGCCGCGAGGTAGGGTGAATCGTCCGGCCAAAGTACCCAGACTCGAAAGAAAACCCAGGTTTTCTAGTCAATTGAAGTCACTCAAAACACCCAATTTCAGTCGGCCGAAACCCTTCCCATTGCCCATTCCGGATAAAGGAATTTATCATCGGCAGTTAGTGTCTTAATGCCTTGAAAAGTCAATCTGAGAATGTTCAGTGAGTACAAGACACCGATCAACGTTCAACCAAGACGACACAGCCACGATCCCGGATATCGACAGAATCACGACCAATATGTGTAGTGTCAGACAGACAACAAGAAATAGTAGTTCATTGCTTTTAGATCAAAATACACTGGCAAAGAAGGATACAACTCGATTCACTACCCGGCAATCAATGAGTGAGTGCTTTGAAGAATCTGGCTCGAAAAACTCACAGAAAGCCATCTGCTCATCTCAAACCAGAACCCAGTTCATATATAAGAAGGTGATGGATGATCATTGTTTGAAAGCATAACAAGAATAATTTTTTCATTCAAGCCCACACGGGTTTCTGCTTTTTCTGATCTCCGAAAAATCTCCGCCTACAAAACCAACAGTGAGAACAAAAAGGAAAAAAAACTCAAAGACAACAAAGTATGACCAGTTGACCGACTGGTTAGGAATCTTCTCTCCTAATCGGAAGATCCAGGGTTCGATCCCGCTGCGAAATCAAGTGTGTGTTCTTTTTCCCATTAAGTTGGGTTTTTTTTCTTAACTACATTGTAGGGGTAAAAATTGTGTCCTCCGTTGTGTTGTATCCACTTATTCATGTTGAATAAAGTATCTTTAAAGACAAATCGACGAGTTGAGGGACGAGAAGAGCGACCTTCACGAAGAATTGTCAGTTTCCTCATGCTGATGTCCATTGATGTTCAACACGTTTATCTAATTGCCTATTCCGGAGCGACGAGGGAGCAAAATACTCTCAGCTTCAGGTGGATTTCTGGGCTTTTGGGAAAACTTCTTATCTGAGATTTCGAAGAAACAATTCAGAAATAAAGAGTCTAGGTCGATTGAGTTTTAATTGCAGATAAATTTAAAAACAAAATAAAAAGCACAAAAAACAATAAAAATAAGTTGTTAATCTATAATTCTTCCTCTTGCTCACTTTCACCTTCGCTCAAGTACAGCAGTTCCTCAAATCGGCTTCCTATCTTATCAATTTCCAGCGCATCTTCATCAGAAGTGACTGGATCTCTTCTACCGTAGGACGTCTTCAGCGCTTTGATTGACACAATTAGATCTTTTTTCCATTTGTGGTCGATTGTGTTTTTCTTTTTTTTCGTAACATAAGCTCCCTTGGCTTTCGAAAAACAACGGTAGCTAGATTCTACTTGGTGCTCTCCTGCCATCTCGGCTTGAGTCTTTGTATTATGATCCAAAACTGCCAGCATAGTCCGATATTCAAATCCTTCGACAAAAATATTTTCTTTTCGGACGATACTTGATGCAGAGTGAATGAAAGTTTTCAACATAGGATGTAATATTATCAATTCTCATTCGTTCAAAGTCGCAAGTCTTTGCTCTTCGTCGTTCTTTTCTTCAGTCTTCGCAAGTCTTTGCTAAATTTGATAAATTTCCAGAAGCATTGAATAGATTTTAGAGGTGGAAAGAATTGGGTCATGAGAAGATTGATAGTTCAAGGGGTGTGAGCATTGCGATAAACTTTTCCGTGTTGAATTTTGTACCCAATTTTATCTCCTGGGAATGAACAAGAAGTTTAGCGAATGAGTCATTCGCCCAGTTGTGGGTGCCTTGGATGTGGAAAAAGAATGAGAAAACCTTTTTCACACATTGTTTCGGATTAGCTCCAAATAGTTCAACGGCTTTGTAGCAATGTACAAGAAAGCGACGTGATAAGTCTCTCATTTGCTTTTTCTCTTGATCCCCTTTTAATTTTCTCGTTGCTGCCATACACTCTTTCTTCAATGAACCCAATCGGTGCCAAGGATCAAAATAGACCTTGAATTTGCGTCTTTGGAGGTAAGATACAATCTGATTATTTTTATCTGTTTGCAAAGGCAGATATTGCTAGTATCACACTAGCAATATCTGCCTTTGCCTCGCTGAAACAAATTGACCGTTTCACTCCTTCTAATTCCATTGCACCGCTTTTGTTTTCAGTTTCACTTTTGTGAACAATGGCAAAATCTATTACTTGCTTGGTTTCGATTTCGATAGCCGTAACAGCACAAAATTCCACTGAATATCCTGGAGAGTCGAATTGGCCATCCATTGCAATTCCAATCGCCCCTTTCCGAAAACCCTCAAAGATTTGAGCTTTTTTTCTCTTTGTACAATACTTCAACCATTGACCACACAAAACATTTGGTCAGGCTGAGAAAGCGATCCTTTTTCAAAAACGGAATTTGTGCAATTGAAAAAAACGACGATAACTCGACAAAGCCAGATTTTGGTATCATTGACGGAGCCTTTTAATTCCTCATCGAATGATACAAAAATTGGGCTAACTGAATGAAAATTGGAGGTTTGACTATGGTAGTTTTCTCAAATAGAAAACGCATTACTCGAGAGGAACACACTCTAATCGATAGCTTCGGGTGTTTTCATGGCCTTTTGCATTATCTAAACATAAAATCTCCATCTGGAAAAAACTGGTTGCCAAAATTATGGCAACCAG